TAGACTTCTACCAAGGCCCTGAGGAGTGGAACAGTCGTCTCTTCTACCTCAACAGCAAGTTAGCAAACTGTTGCAGCTGGTCACAGTGCTGCTGCACCATCTGGGCCATATCCTCGCACAACTTCTCGAGTCCATCGAACACCTTTGCGAGTTGGTCGGTATAGTCTTCAACAGCCTGGACTTCTACCAAGGCCCTGAGGAGTGGAACAGTCGTCTCTTCTACCTCAACATCAGTTAATGTGGGCACTGTACTGAAGACGGCTTCATGAGCCGGTACTTTGTCTTCCCTCTCCTTCTCCTTCTCTTCCTCTTCCCTCTTCAATGCTTTCTCATAAAAAACCTGGTATTGCGCTTTTTCTGCCTCAGGGGCAGCCTCCATTTGCAGCTTCCATTCTGCTGCAGATGCCATGATGGAGGATGAGGGTGTCAACAAGTCTCTCAAGAGGGGTTCGTACTTCCTCACACTTCTGGGACGAACACTCCTCTTCCCTCTCCTCATGCCCTCAAGAACGAGCCCTTTGCCCCATTCGAAAAGAGATTCGAATGGTTCACCGGTTCCACCGTATGCTCTCATCTTTTTCATTTTCATTTCAGATTGAATCTGCAGTGTGCTTCAGGTGTGTTAGGTCCATATTGGACTTAGGTTCTCTACATGTAAGGGTGTCAACAAGTCTCTCAAGAGGGGTTCGTACTTCCACACATTTCTGGGATGAACACTCCTCTTCCCTCTCCTCACGCCCTCAAGAGCAACACTCAGAAGCTTCTCTCTCTTCTCTCTCTCTCTCGTTCGCGATCGTGTAGACGCAGGCATTTAACAAACCCAATGAAAGAAACAACTTGAAATCAATCAGAAGAGAAGGTAGAACTCCTAGCCGGAGAGGCAATTCATTTGGACTGGAGAGCAATAAAAAAAATAAAAGATCACAGAGATCTGATTCCGCCACACAGTCTGGTCAGACTACGTATGAGGTCCTTTCAAGCTTAGCCGGACTCAGCTCCGTGAAGACAACAAATCAAATTCAAAGTGTACTACGTAAATGCAAGAGAGAATACGAGTGGTCTCCAAGGTGCTAGTCAGATGGCGGATCGTGCGGTAAAGTCTGATAAAACGTCTCACAGCTGAGATCCCCTCAGCAGTGAGTGTCCTGGTCCGAAAGCATTAACTCCGAGTCCCAATCAGATAGAGCGAGGTAACTGACGTCAACAGATTTGGGCCTGAGGGGCCCTTCTTGTTTGGGCCCGGTCCAAATGGTCCCAGGAGTCAGAACCGGGTCCCAACCAACAAGACTTCCACAAAGACCCACTTTCTGCCCCTACCGAATTGAAAAACGAAATTTAGCCCCCAAAAAAAACTAAAGACTACAGCCGTTCAGAATGAAATAAACAAAGCACTGTAGAGACATATAGCATGGCAGGCAAGATACTCCATTCATTCACTCGTCAGGTGAGTAAGCAGTTCACACACCTCACACGCAATCAAGACTATGGAGGATGGAAGAAGAACCCAGGAAACCCAAAACATTGTAGAGCTATATAGCATGGCAAGCAAGACACTCCATTCATTCACTCGTCAGAGTGTTCACACACCTCGCACACAATCAAGACTATGGAGGACGGAAGAAGAACCCAAAAAAAAACAACAGGCAGTCAATTCCATGCACACACACATGGGCACCCTGACAGCACGACACTTACCTGAGTGGTCGGGCTCTTGCGATGAAAGAACTCACACCCCTCTCACATAGTCCTCCTGACCCAATTAGCATCCTTTACACTAGTGTCCTATCATCTAGGAAGGTCAACATCTACCCCAAAGTACAAAGCCAGATTCCCCGTCGATGTTGAAGATCGAAGCAGCAACTTGCAGTCCGCAGGTGCAGATATGGCTGCCACCCTCGACCTCGCCAAACTTGAGCGGAGCCCTAAAGCCACTCCTCGTCTTCCTTGAAGTCCAGATTCAAGTTGTAGGTGCCCTTCACGGTCCCCTCTCTCCAGTTGCTTCACGAAGTCCCACCTTGTGTCTCGCCACCACAAACATGCACTCAAGCAACCTGGCCGGGTCTGGTGTCGACCCTACACGGCCCTGCCAGGTGGAAGCAGCCTCCCTTTACCACACTGCCCGAAATAACCCTGACTTCCGCACTAACCCTAAGTGGTTAGCCCTTACCACTAGGGTTAGGGTTATGGCAGCAAAGTCGACTCTCTGCAGTTGCAGGTGCTCGTCTTCCTTGAAGTCCAGAATCAAGTTGTAGGTGCCCTTCACGGTCGCCTCTCTCCATTTGCATCACGAAGGTCCCACCTTGTGTCTCGCCACCACAAACATGCACTCAAGCAACCTGGCTGTTTCTAGCGTGAACACTACACGGCCCTGCCAGGTGGGAGCAGCTTCCCTTTACCACGCTGCCCCACTTAACCCTAACTTCCGCTCTAACCCTAAGTGGTTAGCCCTTACCACTAGGGTTAGGATTATGGCAGCAAAGCCGGCTCTCGCAAGCAAGTAGAATCCGCTCTGATACCAATGTTACGATCCTGGCCAATTTCAAAGTATACACACATCAGAAAGTACAATGCCATCCAATTACAAAAAGAAATGAATGAACTTGAGAGGAGAGAGGGAAAGAAGAAGAAGTAAGAAAGAAGAAGAAGATGATGTACTCCAACATAGGCCAATGACAAGGCTCTTCTTCTTCGCCAACTAATCTCCTCCTCCTTATCTCCTCCTCTCTTATTCAAACAAGAAGTAACAATAATAATGTTGAATGGCTGAACCAGAATCAATGTCCGAATCCCACTTCTACGACAGTCACAACATGAGGTCCACCATAGCCATGGCCACCCTTCCTCTTCCTCTAAATACAGGCCGAGGCTATGGCGGAGCACTAAGGGCTCTACCCTCCTGTCCAAAGGGCAATCCAAAGCAACTATGCCGCCCCCCTTCTGTCCGAAGGTCAACACCATGCAGCTATGCCGCTGCCCACTCAACCGCCATGCCCGACTCTGTCCCGAGCTTCCTTGATGCGGCACTACCCCAATTGGGGCCTTCCAGATGCAGCGCCTAATAAGGTGATGAAGATGGTGTCCACCATAGCCAGGTAAGTACCCCACCACTCTCCTCCTTGGTCCCCTTCTCCCTCCTCCTCCTACCAGCCGAGGTGGAAGCTCCCGGCTTCTTCCTCCCACTAGCACTGTAGCAGCCAGCGCTCTTCCAACCAACGCTCCAACAGTGTGACGCCCAACTCACACAATGAAGAATGAGGCCGAGCTTTTGCCTCGGCCTCTTGATATAGCGGCCTGCTTGCCTCCTGGGCGGTGACTTCCAGGCCGCTCGGCCTCCCAAGCAACCGGTACCTCCTCCCTTTCGGAGGGAAACATCATTGCAGACTCTGATATTGCCCGCAGAGGCTCTAGACTCAGACTGGATGGACAGGTACCGGCCTAGACCTAGCCTAGGCCTAGCGCTACTGGGCGTCTAAAAATGCCAACTTTGTCTTCTGCTCGGCCTCGAATACCCGGCACATCTACTGCTACTGGGTGCGGTACTAGCCTACCTGCTACCTGAGTGTTTTTCCGCTGCTGTAAGCACCTCGGGCTCCGCTACTTGAGTGTTTTCCCTGCTGCAACCCTCAATGCCATGGCCACAGGTAAGTCCCAGCCCTACGGGCCTGCCAAACAAGCAAGTACCCTTGCGGGTCACACACACACTCATGCCGACAAGCACTCAGACAGGCACGCAAGTCAACAGGCACGCACACATACAGACTTAGAAAACACAGCAGAATGCGGGAATCTCAGCAAGGCATCCATTCCATTGGCAGAACTTCAGAAATCAGCAGTGTTCTCGGTCTGTGTTATGGCGGGTCATTACATAGGGAAGAATATCCGCTTCAACTTGATATTCTACATAATCAGCACCTTACAAAACCACCACCACATATCCCCTTCCAATGTGAGAGGATCCCATAAATGAAACAGATTGAGAAAAGAACGCAGAAAGGCAGGCCTGACCTTCATATATCTTCGACGGCTTCTGCTCATGAACTCATTCTGTGTCTTGCTCCACAAACTAGTGCCCCCAATTGATGCCAAGACAAGTGCATCTGCCAATCGGTTTGCCTGCATACAGGCCTGCACTGCAGCTTCGTAATTTCCCACGACGAGTGCACGCTGAATGGCAGACTCGTACTCTGAATCTTCATCATCTTCATCTTGGTCTACATCCTTCGCTTTCAGTGATTCGCTCACCGGTCCCTCAACAAGAGCAGAAACCTCTGGGCCTTTTGCAGGCTCTGAAAATGCTGAGGCATTTGGGCTCTGCGGTGGGTCTAGGCGGTCAAAGAATGCTTCCCCGTCATCAATTTCATCACCAATATCCAATGAGCCCAGCCCACTGGCTAAACCTCCCACTTCCACCTGTTCGGACGAGGGAGCCGTGTCCTCAGGTATCTCTGCCATCATTGTGCTTGCAGGGGTTGGATCCGCACAAACCGTTCCAGCCTCATGTTCACCATTCTCTGCAGGCATAGCAAGTGCGCTCGCAAAGTCAAGGTGTGACAAAAGCTGCCGCCTAGCATCATCTTCAAAAAGGACCTGCAGGAAAATCCATGTCTCCTTTTCTTCTCCTGTCCTGAAGCAAATTGTCAAAAGAACAAAATTCTGAGGTATTAGCAACCATTGAACACTGGAATGCAGCCCCACATCAGCCCATGCCCGAGCACAGCAAATGCCCTGCCACATCCTTGATTTTTGCCATCCATGTCAGGTCTAGTGTAAAAAATAGACCAGCCTGGGACTAAGTCAATTGCAGCACAAATGTTGTGGATGTGGACCACGGAAGAAGGATGGGGAGCCGAATTTCCAATTGCCTTTCCAGCTATGCTTGCAGCATGCAACCAAATCAAACAAAACGCAGCTCATAGTGAGAAAGCCGTAGTTCTGAGGTACGAGAGAACCAATCAGCAGAAATGACAAGTGTGAATTGAAGCAGCCACCTGCAGACCATATAGGTATTCCCTCTGTCAAAGTGTCAGATTGTGAATTTGAAAACAAGGGTTAACTCCCGTTATCCTCCTCTTGCATCTGAACTCCGGCGAGCCTAAATCCAGCCAAAGCTGGCATCAAGACAGTTATTCATTGACTTCATTGACTGAAGTCAATGAATCTAAGTTAATTGATTCAAACAACCACATAAAGAGTGAGTTGGGTACAACATATAAACAAAATATTGCTGAGATATAGAGACCTTTTCTTAAGTAGTACTTTTTTATATCCATGTGATGCATTGCATCCCTCCCTTCCTCCGAGACAACCTTTAGGCAGAACCTGACCAGGGTTTCTGCGAATGGTCGGAGTCCTGACTATAAACCACTCTGCACCATCCCTCTGGCAAATAGCACACTCCGTCACTAACTTTGTTTCTCAATGACCGATTACCGTTAGCAGTGGACTGCTTCGACACTCGTGTTTCAGAGATAGCATGCTCCAAGATGGGCCTTTTGCTCGTAATAACAGCTGCATGCTCAAGCTACTGGTACCGTTTAACAGGAGCCTGCTTTTGACCAGAGTCAGCATTGCCTCTACAACAAGAAAGGATCTGCAAGGTCCGCCACTCCGAAGCACACCAGTCTGCTTACAGAGTATGAACAAGATCAGCACTTCGAATGCGGGTGCAAGGAATATGAGCGACAGCGATATGCAGAAAACCAAGTTGTAAAATCACGCAGAAGTCCAGATAGTCATGTTACATGCAGAGAGCTCAAATGCACCAAGATTCCATCCAAATAAGAGCAATACAACGAACTCATGAGCGAATGTTCAAGCCCTCACGCTACACCAACACAGAAGTCAATGTCGCTCCTCTCTGTGTGGCGCCTAACGCCCAACCTACTATAGGTGTCGTACCTAGCCTACCTATGTTCATTCAACAGGATCACTTCAACTTTGAAGACCAATGTACATGCCATCAACACCAATGCCAACCTCCCACATATAGGTACGTACATTCGTCTCCCTCATCACCCCCTGTCCACCCACTTCTGCGCCGCCTCCTGAAGATACAATGAACTCGTGAGCCAATGTTCAAGCCCTCAGGCTACACCAACGCAGAATTCAATGTCGCTCCTCTCTGTCTGGCGCCCAGCGGTCAGCCTACTATACTCATCTTACCTAGCCTACCTACATTCATGCAACAGGCTCACTTCGACTTACATGCCGTCAACACCAATGCCAACCTCCCACATACACTAGGTACGTACTCTTGTCTCCCTCATCATCCCCTGTCCACCCACTTCTGCGCCTCCTCCTGAAGATCCCCTGTCGCCCTCCTCTGCCTATGCGCCCTGCTGCCCTGCTGCCCTGCAGCGCCCCTCACCTCCCAGCGCCCGCGCGCGCCCCAGCCAGCAGATGCACATGCAGACGCTTGCGAGGGAAGCAGCGTGTCCGCATTGCCTCCCAAGGCCAGAATGCCAGAGCCTGGCTGGCCTCCTCTGTATATGAGAGAGATTGCTGCTGCCGTATGAGAGAGATTGCTGCTGCTGGATTGCCTGGGCCTGGCCCTATTGTCTGCGCCCAGGCCCATGCCTACAAGGTAAGTGTGCAAGTGACCAGGAATACGAATCACATATGAGGGACCATCCAGTTCACTACCCACAATATCCAAGACTTCCCAAGGACCGAAGTATTGAGGCATTAGTTACCTAGATATGTCGAATTCCTGTCCTAGCTCACTACACTTAACCCAGACACATTCCCCTACTTGAAATGTGGACTGTCGTCGATATTTGTTCTCTGAAAAATCATTGCTTCTTGAGATTTCTTGATGTGTTCGACAGCTTGCTGCAGCAACTTCTCGTATTGGACATCAAATTCAATGGTTCCTGGAGTTGCAGCAGGTCGGTTTTCAGGTGGGAGGAAGTCTAGAGCAGATCGAGGCTTCCATCCCAGGTGCAGCTGATTCGGACTGACACCAGTGGTGTTGTGCACAACATTGTTGTACAAGCTGGAGATGAGAGGTAACTTCTGATCCCAGTCATCCTGGTTGGGCTTAATGTAATGCCTCAACAGATGCTGCACCACTCGGTTCATCTGTTCAGCTTGCCCTTTGGCTTTGGGACAATTCCCATAAGTCATCTGGAGTTGGCTGCCCATCTGTTCTCCAGCCTTCTTCCACATTGCACTTGTGAAACGGACATCTTTATCACTAACGATGGTTGTCCAAAGTCACGCACCCAATGATCCATAAATAACTTGATGACGTGCTCACTCCTTGCGGTCTCCGGCATGGCAATCAGTCGAGCTTACTTCGTAAACCTATCAACTATGACGAACATTTCCCTCTTGCCACTCTTGCTGGTCACGAGGGTACCCACGCAATCCATGGAGACACTATCTCCCGGACCAGCAGGAATGGGCAGGGGCTTGAGAAACCCAAGTGGAAATCGAGTTCACGGTTTGTCCCGCTGAAAAACTTGACAAGTATGAACGTACTGGTCGGCTTTGCTTAGCATACCAGGGCACCAAAATCACTGTACTAGATTTGCACTAGTCTTCTTATAGCCGAAAGGTCCCATTGAATCATGACACTCTCCTAAAAATAAACTACGCAAAATCTCACTAGAGGGAACTACTTATCTTAGAAGCCCTACCTTTTCAAGAAAGAGTAACCCATCAACCATCACAAACTCATCAGCTGTGGCCTTGTCTTGGTCGTATGATGTCCACCATGACGGGGTCTTCCTTGTAGGATTCCACCATCAATCGAGTTACATCATCAAACAGGCCAAACTCAATTATTAGCGGACTTGGGTAGTCTGCCCTACGTGACAGCGCATCAGCAACCTTTGTTGTACTCTCCCTTCACATAGTCTGGCTTGAAATCATATTGGTCTGACCTCAATCCAGCGTAAAGTTCATCAAAGAGAACAGGTTGATGGCATCTTCTTACACATGTACTCGAGCGTCCTCGACTTTCTCCATTCCTACCAAGCCAGCACTGTGGCAATGTCGTATACGATTGCGTCAGTGATCACAACCAATGGCTTCTAAGGATCGGGTACCGTGATAACCTCATGGTGTGTGAGAGCATACTTCAATCGCTTGAAAGCAGCTTCACACTCGTCAATCCATTCATGGAGTGTCAAGGCGTGTTAGATCAATCAAACGGCTGGCCATCGCGCTATAATTCTTTACAAAATTGCGATAGTAGCCTATCATCCCTAAGAAAGATCTAACCTTGGTCACAAACTGAGGTCGTGGCAGTCACGAATGGTAGCCACCTTTGCATCTTCCGGCCTCATCCCATCCGCGGATATCTCATGACCCAAGTACAATATTTTTGTGCAACCAAACTCGCATTTCTTTGAGTTAATCTTATACTTGTGTTGTAGGAGGAGTGAAAGTACAATCTCTAAATGTTAAGCATGCTCCTGGTTTGTTCTACTAAGATAAGTATGTTTTCAAGGTACACGACGATGAACTTATCTAAGTAGTCATGGAATATCCTATTCATTTGCAAAGGCCAAAGGGCATCACCACAAACTCATACACACCATACCTGGTCTGAAATGCAATTTTGTGCTAGTCCTCTGGTCTAATGGCAATTTGATGGTAGCCGGATTTTAAGTCTACCCTGTACCCTATCTAGAAGGTCGTCGATGCGCGGTAAAGGCTCTGCGTTCTTCACAGTGGTCGCATTGAGGCCTCTATAACCAATGCACATCCTCAGGGTCTCCGCCTTCGTCGGGACAAATAGGACTGGTGAGCCGAAGGGGAAGGTACTGGGCCGTATTCAACCCTTTTCTATGAGATCTTTCAGTTGTCGCCTTAGTTCGTCTAACGCGGCCGGAGCCATCCTATAGATCCTTCTTTTGGGTATCTTGCTCCCCGAAACTCTTTATGGGGACAACCTCCTGTTCTACAACTCTTGAAGGCTGCTCAAACAGATCACGGTACTTGCGACGACATTTTCTATCTCTAGGGGTGTTTTAACGCACTCCCCTTTTTCAAAGACAAACACTCAGTACATACCCTCCTCTTGGCTCTGATCTGGGGGTGTTTTAACGACCTCCCCAAAAGGTGCAGACTACATCCTTAGACATATTGATCAAGAACCATGCCCTCTTTCTTGGCTAAGGTAGAGGCTACAAATCTACCTAAGCACTGCACCCGGTCCCCTAGGCGCATTCTCTCAACGAGTCGGGCCTTGGAGTTCCGCATGGAGCCAATGTCTACGAAGGCACCACATTTGCAGCCACCTAAACCGACTTCCACAACAAAGTTATCCCCTCTAGGACCTCTACTTAGCGCCACCCAAGACTCACGAGGGTCCCTTCCCGACCACTCACTTTGCAAGTCTTCGAAGGCTTCAGACACATCCAGCGAACAAAATATCGTTTGGTCTAGATGTGTCTGCTGGGTGACTAAAGAGTCAATAGCTTCGACCAACTCTTGAGTGAGGAGGGTGACTAAACAGTCACTAGCGTCGGCCAACTAGCTTCGGCCAACTCTTGAAGTGGGGAGGGTGACTAAAGAGTCGATAGCTTCTCCCAACTCTTGAAATGGGGAGGGTACATCGCCCACTTCATCATGAGTAGAAGTAGCTACAACTTTTACTGGCCTGATGTGTTTCTC